GTATGTGTTTAATATATAAATTTAAAGTTTATAATTGGCATATTACCTTAATAATTTTTTTACTAGTTAAAAAATTTCAATTTGAAGCGCTAGAGTATTTTCCGGAATTAAATCTTGATTTTGAATCTCTAAGCTTGTGATTCTATTATAAAAAAAATGTTTACTAAAGCATTTAAATTTTTATGACTAAATGATGCTCATAAAAAATTGATAATGATTTTTCAAAAAATTATTTATAAAAAATCCTTCAAAATTTACGCGTTATATTTTCTGATAAAGAGTTTTTAGTAATCGAAATGATAAATACTAAATTTAAGATTAAAAATAGATAATGAAAATTTGAGAATGTTTTATTACTTATTTTTTTCTGTACATGATTAGAATCTCTAAATAGTTATGCTGTTAGAGTAAAATAGTTTTCGAGTTTGAATCATGTTGCCATTAATTCAATCGAAAACGAAGCAACGATTTGTAGATCTTCAAAAAATTGTCTATTTCACAACATTAATAAAATTATAATTAGCAGAACGATTAATTGAAGTAATTTTAAAGACGATTTCAATGTAATTAATTTAATTATTTAAATTATTTAGGAAAAAGATAAATTTACTGATTCGATCTTGAGCGTTTTTTTTCTAATATAGAACACTATTGATTTCTATAAATATCTTCGCACGTTGAATATAATTTTAACTTTACCTATATAATGTTCTATTAAGGAAATCCTTTCGCTCCAGTTGAGTCAAAACAATTGTAGTAGTCAATATATGATAAATTAAAATAAAAAACCCATAAAAATTCCTAAAATTAAATAATAAATAGTATATGAGGCATTAATCGTTGAAATTTTGAAAATAAAAAAAAAAAATAGTTAAATACAAAAATTAATTTGACTCTTTCAAATCAGCTGCTAGTAACCTGTCCGTGATTTGGCAACGCTGTACTTCGGTTGTTTACATTTTCATTTGCACAATATAACCTTAACCACGTTTAAATTTTTGCAGTCAGTTAAGGAGGTCCTTTCGCCTCCAATGTAAAATAAAAAATATTAGATTATGAGTAAATTCAATTTTTTTCTAATAGTTAAGGTCCTTATTTATCTAATAGTGAGGTTTAAAAATTTGTCCGGTAAAGTATAATTTAAACCTCACTATTAGATAAATAAGGACCTTAACTATTAGAAAAAAATTGAATTTACTCATAATCTAATATTTTTTATTTTACATTGGCGGCGAAAGGACCTCCTTAAAAGGGATCTTGGTGGGACGTAAGGGCTACGAAGAAGCGAATGCTGAGGAACAATTATAGTACCAATATTTATTTATAAATTAACCTAAATTTTTAGATTTAAAATCTAATTATAGTTCAACTCAACGAGACCTTCAGTGATAATAATTTAATACTCTCAACTAACCTTTTAACGTAATCAATTAATCAATTGATTTTTTTTCCACAAAAAAAAACATGATAAGTATTTTTAAACTCTATTGTAATTAATTAATTACAATTGTTAACAATCATGTCACTGATTATGATTATTAATTAATATTGTTGCTAAGATTATTCATATGATTATAATAAAAATTAAAAATAAATTGATGAATGTTGTTTGTATTTAATCAATCTTATTTGAATATTATGTCATTGAAGAACAATAATTTATTCATGTAATTGTAATGATAATTGTGATAACTTTATGATAGATTCAATTATAATTAAATGATTATGATCATTAATTATTATTAAATAATATTTAACCAGCTTACTATAAAAGTTGCCAGAGATAATTAATTAATGTTGATAGAGGTATGATCAAGGATAAAATTAGTTTGACTTTGTACAACAAGTTGTCACGTTTGATATCTAATCATACATGACACAAATCGATTGCCTAAGCACCCACGATGATGTATGGATTACCGGATATTCCTCCTATAATCCTCCGAACAATCGAGAGGATCACCAGGCAGACAACTTTCCATAAATTTACTTACTAATTCTCCGTTTGTTTTTTAGCTTTCAAAACTTTTCAGTTACCTTTTTTTATAGCAATGTATTACATTCATTACTTGTAAGAGATAGTTATTGAAATTTTAAGATGATAATTAATTTAATTATGTTACAATTTGTAGAACAATTACTTTTTATCGATATTTATATAAAAAAAAAAAACGAGTATATACTGTAAAAAATACTCCCTTTGCTTGGAGTAAAATTGTAATCTTTCTATCAGTGGAGTGAATATGGATTTTTATCCGAAAAACATTCGAGTACAGAGTTTTTAAACTAAAATAAATTTTTATTTAGCTGAAATAAGTCTTATATTTTGAATGACTAAAAAATACTTTAAACAATTTATCAAGTTTAATTTTGTAAATGTCAATTGTATTTTTCATAAAAATTTGACTTTTTTGGAATATTGAACAAAATTTTCATAAAGATTTGTTATGTCCAAATTGGCTCATAAAATAAAAATAATTAATTTAATATTAATGAAATTAACTTTTATATGGTAATTTTTAAAATTTCTTTACAAATTAGTTATTATAGAGCAAATTTATCGAAAAATTTTACTTGTAAAAATAAAAAAAAAATAATGATGCAATTATTATTGATTATTAAAATGTATTTTTTGTATCAAACTAAGAAAAATTTTATATTAATTTTTAAAATTTGTTAATGCGCATTTTGTAATTTTTAAATGAATAACATCTAGTTTTTTATTCTTATTTAATGAAAAAAAAAGTAATAAATTTTCTTCAGGAATTTTTTTTATTAACAATAAAAAAAATTTTTTTCTTGGAGAGAACTCCACTCGGGAAGTATTTGGTCAATTAAAAATTATCCACCCTACAAATTTTTTAACGTGTAATTTGATAGTAGTCAAAGAAGAAGGCAAAAATTTTTGCTTAATGATTTTTGAAATTTTTCCCTCAATGTGCCCATGAACATTTTAAAAAATGAATCAATCGTGTTTTTAAATTCTTATCAGATATACCATGACATCCGTTATATCACCAAATTGTAGCGAAAATTTTTCTAGAACGATTTTAAATAGCTCCAAGCTAAAAATAGCTGCAATCGATAAAACTAATAGTAAAATTTCCTTAATAATGATGAATTTATAAAAAATAAGTCAGGTAAAAATATCTAATGAGGATACTTCCTGAGCAGAGTATCGCGATCCTTACTATAAATTATATAAAGATCTATAGCCGGATCTCGGATTTTTCGAATCGAGTCCAAGGCTAATACTTTAATACTTTCGTGCATCAGCCAGCGAGTACGGTACATAACAGTAGCACTGATCCCTTCTAGTAACCAGCAACAGCAACAGCAACACCGGGACTAGACCAGTATATGACATAGCTGTAAAACAACAGCGCAGAACAGTAATAAGAGTATATGGCGTCTCCACAGAGACCTCAGATCACGTTTTCCAGAGAACCTTTTCCAACATGCGTTTTTTATTTCTTCCTTTATTTATCAACTTTTCTTAGTTGGCGCATTGGTACAAGAAAGTGCCCGGCTACCGCATCACTTCGCAGACATATACCCGTTAAACTGGGTTACCAGAATAAACTAGAGCGTGGAGCTGATGACGAACATCCTTGAAAATGAAATAAAAAAAATTTCTTCATTTTATCAAGAATTAAATCGAAATTTTCTCTTTTCTTTTTATTTAAAAAAAAAAAAAAAACAATTGGGTTTTATCTTTATTCTGTGATTCATTTTATTTTTCTTGTTACGTTAAATTAATGGGTTCTTAATTCTATTCATCTGTCAATTCCAAATACAAGAAGAAATGCTGTAGCTCGAGACATCTTGCGGTGAAATATCGTCAACAATTACATTAATACCGCCGATGATAATCATTCGATCCATTCAACATTTAATTATTTTTTATGAAAATTATTCATTTATTATTTGTGGATTTTCGCAAAAATTCAAGCTAAATTATTTTATTCATTTACTTGGCACCTACTTTTAAATGTAAAATCCTATTGACAGATTGAAGTTTGAGTAATTATTAATCAGCTCAATCAACGAAAACATTATTGGATAAATCAAATTATTAAGCAATTAGTGAATGATACGTTTCAATTATCGAAAAAATCGGAAATCGTGTCAGTTCAAATGATAAAACTAGAATAGTATCAGTAAAAGTAGAATTGAAATAATCAATTATTTTTAATGGATACTATGTGCATGCGAAAAGATAAAAGTTATTTTTATTCATGCGAGGATCAGCGGCTTAATGGAAACTGCGAGCTAGTGAGATATTATTGCACATTAATGGCATTAATATATTATAGAATTACTTAAATTTTCATCAACCGTCTTTGATATCGCGATCATATCAAATCACGGATTTATATATAATTTTTGTTTGGCGCTCATTTTTTCGAGATTCTACATTTTAATGAAAGTGTTAATGTGTGAAAAAAATGTTTTTTGAGTTGATGTTATATATAATTTAATTTTATTTTATTCTATTTTAAAACAGTATTAATGATTAAGTAATGTGAATAATTAATTCTACTTATTTAATATAATCAAAAATCTACTTTCTACCAGTTGAATATATATATCTTATACTTTAATTAATAAAAAATTATCAAAATATACTTTTAAAATTATTATTTTTATTGTTATACAATATAAACTTCAAAAAAGTCATTTTTTGACATTTTTCATTAAAAAATGTTCAATACAGTAACTTTGTTTTAATGACACAATAATTTAAAATTATGATTTTATAAAATTCATACTAATTGCTGAGTATCGCCAAGAAAATCATAGTATAAATAAACGTAAATATTCTGCAAGTAATACAAAACACAATTTGAATGTCATTGGAAAGAAAAGTTACACAACTAAATTACAAAACGCATGTACAGACTGGATAAGTAATGATCAAAATAGAGAGGGGAAAAAAGCGCATATATATGATGTGTTGCGTGAGAGAAGTTTTTTTATTCACTTATTATTTGTAAGGCCAGTCGAGTTGCGACTGCTTGATTAACCAGATCGTTAATCTTTGCTCTCAGATATTATTAAATTTGTTTTGTATAAAATAAAAACAAAATAATATTAATTCTTTAAACATAAAATCATGGACTTGCAAACGTTGATAACTACGGTATTAATTACATTAATTTTGTTATTAATTATCCTGCATTCTTATATACATCGAAGTAAGCAAGGACAGCTTACTGATAAAATTCCTGGACCTAAATGGTATCCAATTATTGGCAATGCCTTAGATCTTATGGTACCACTTGGTAAGTCGAAAAAATTTATTTCATTAATTTTTTTTTTAATTTTTACCTTATTTTAACTTACGTTTTTTATAATAAATAATAATAATTCAACTAATTATTTACTTTGAAGAGGATCTTTGGAATTTTTTCCGACGTTCGTCAAGAAATTATTATCCTGTTTACAAGCTGTGGCTTGGTGTTTGGCCCATCATCAATATTCATCATCCCGATGACGTTGAAGTATGTATATTATTTTTTAATATTTACCAAACAATTTATTTTAAACAAAATATGTCTTAAGAAAATATTTTTTATGTAAGTAAAAATTTTCAGTGTTGTTTTTTTTTTTGTTGGTTGAATTTTTTAGTACTTTAATAAATAAAAAATCCAATTACCAATTATTTTTTCGACCGATTGTATATATAAATTAAAGTTTTGCGTCTATTGGTCAAGTGACAAGTAAGTCTAATTCAAGATTAGACAGCATGTAAAAATTATTTTTTCTCTAATCAACTTGTAAATTTGTGTTAATATAAATCTATAAATTGAAAATTTTTAAAGAATTCTTCAATTCAGTTAGATTTTTATAAGTAAAATTTTTTTTTTTAATTTTGACGTTTGATGAGTTTCTCAAAAACCTTTTTTTTATTTTCAATTTTTATAGTCAGACATTCAAAGTGTTAAGTTTTTAAACCAAATAGTTATAAAATAAAATTAAAAATTTTTTTTTATTCACGCTATTTTGACTTAAAGAATTTTTTTTTCTTGTTATTTCTTCTCACAAATTTATAGATTATACAAATTTACAAATAAATTGTAGAAAAAAAAATTTTTTTATACACCTTATTGATTCTGCAAAACCAAAAGGGCAATAAAATATTCAAATAAAACCTTTTATCAATTAAGAGTGTAAACTTTTTGCTTATAAAGCAAATTTAAAAAAAAAAATCTAAAAATATTAGATACTATGTTTTGAAATGGACAGTTTTAGTATTAAAAAAATTTTTTATTCATAGTTTTAAAATTTTTTATTGATTTTTATTTGTAAAGAAAATTTTATTAATACTAAAAAAAATGCATTTGTTTATAAATCTTTGTTTAGATCGTACTGTAATAAAATTTAATTTCAATCAACAGGTTATACTGAGCAGCAATAAAAACATTAAGAAAAGTTTATTCTACGATTATTTACATCCGTGGTTAAACAGCGGTCTTCTTACAAGTACAGGTATGCACATAAAATTTAAAAAAATTAATTACTAACTTTTATTTTTCATTAATTAATTATACTTATAAATAAACCAGGAGATAAATGGCGCGGTAGAAGAAAAATATTAACACCAGCTTTTCATTTGCATAATCTTCACGAGTACATGGGATCAATTGTCGATCATAAAGATCGTTTAATTAATGGAATAAAATCAGAAATAAAATCTGAAGATGGAGTTATCAAAGAACTTTTGCCCTTGCTGTCCTCGTCTACACTCAACATAATATGCGGTAAAGTATTGATCAGTTTTTTTAAATAATTCATAAAGTTAATATATAATAAACAATTTTTTACAGAATCATCAATGGGAGCTACGATGCAAGAAAATGACCCTGAGCAAAAAAATTACAAACAGTCGGTTTACGACGTGGGAGAAATTTTTTACTACAGGTAGTTTTTCATAATTGCTCATTAAAATTGAATACTTAGTTGATAATAGATTAATATTATTTTGAAAAATAATTATCTATCCCAGAGCCGTCAGACCGTGGTTCAACAGCGATTGGATCTTCGGTTTCTCAGCCAAAGGTCGCGAACAAGCTAAGTGTTTAAAGACATTGCACAAATTCACTGATAAAGTTCGTAATAAATATCCGGAATTAATTAATTGTATTTTATCAACCGACTTATTATCTATTTATTTTTTTCTTGTCTGATTTAAAATTGCAGATAATAAAAGAACGACAACAATATCACAAAGACACCAAAGGTAAATATTTAGATGATTTCGAGGGAGGAACAAACTTAAATTCACAGTATGATGAAAAAGGTATTTTGCAAACAAGCATTATTTATTATTACAAATTAATCAGCGAATAATGATGATGATGATTCATTTTGAGTAGCAAAGCGTAAAAGACTGGCCTTCCTTGATCTGTTGATCGCAGCCTCAAAACGAGGCCTCGGTGTGGATGATCGCGGAATTAGAGAAGAAGTCGACACTTTTGTTTTTGAAGTAATTATAATTTTTTACTTCTTTATTAATGTTATGCAGCAATCGCGTGGCGATTTGAATTAATAGTAACCGTCTGTTCTCAGGGTCATGATACTACGGCCATGGGATTACTTTTTGCTATTTTACTTTTGGCTGAGCATAAAGACATTCAAGTAAATTATACGTTCATTTTGACAATTATTTTCTATTTGTTCATTTTTAAGGCAAATTAATTTTTTAGGAACGAGCGAGACAAGAAATAAATTCAGTGTTAAAAGCTGCGGATGGAAAAATGGGCATCAATGAGGTCCAAAAGTTCTCGTACTTGGAATGTTGTATTAAGGAAGCGTTGAGACTTTATCCAAGTGTTCCAGTTGTTTCGAGAGAAATTCAAGAAGATGTACAATTGAGTGAGTGTATGGCTTTTATTTTGACTAGAAAAAATTGAATTGATGAAAAAGTTGAGAATTATGCAGTGAGAAATTTTACATTATTTTGAACACAAATCAAATGTAACAAAAATAACTATTACATTTTTTTTGTAGTTTCTACGTAAACGCTTATGGTTTAAATAAGCTGGACATAAAATTTTTTTGACACAGACAAAATTCTTTACTGTGTAATTTTACGGAAATATTCATAATAAATATTAAAAGTTTAATTTTTAAATTCATATTTTGTTTTTTTTTTTTCAGAACATTGTTTAGTACCCAAAGGAGCAGTTGTAAATATTCATCTAATAGACACACATCGCGATCCTAATTTTTGGCCGCGTCCAAATATTTATGATCCTGAAAGATTTGCATCAGATCGTATCGAAAAACGGCATCCGTTTTCATACGTTCCGTTTAGTGGAGGTCCACGTAATTGCATTGGTAATAACTTACACGATTTTTATCAATATTGTTAAATATTGTTTTTTTTTTTTTGTTTTTTGACGTTATTATTAAGCTTATTATCGTAACAAATTTATGTGATTAAATCGTCTGAATTTGATATTTAAAATCATCATGAATTACCAATAAGAATATACTTGATTATATTTTTGAGTTTTTAACAACGTTTTAGTAAAAATTTGTGTTATTTTGGTGATTTTGTTAAATTAACAATAAAAATTTTTTTTGTACTTTTCAGTGAATTTACAAAATAACTTTTATTGTTAATTCAACGAAATTACCTGAATGGCAAAAATTTTTTCTCAAACGTTAGGATTCAAATTTTTAATAAAAATAACTTCAAATGAAAGGATTAAGAAGGTTTTAATATTAAATAATTATTATCACAAAAATTTATGTTAATAATAATAATAATTTTTAAATTTATGACTTTGATAATTACAGGTCAAAAATTTGCTATGCTTGAACTAAAAACAGTAATTGCCGGAATATTACATGCTTTTTATTTGGAACCACAAGATACAGCAGCAGACATGAAAATACTTTCTGATCTTGTTATCAGACCAGCTATGCCAGTCTACGTGAAATTTGTACCAATAAATTAATAAATAAAAATTTAGGGGGGGGGGCAAAACGGGGTACTTGAGAAAATTTTAAGTTATTAGGTATTAAAATACGCTGAGTCTTATTTTTTTGGGTTGTTTTCAAAGTAAAAAACAAAAATTTTCAGTTACCGCTAAAAAAAAATTTGTTTTTTAATTATTACTTCCTAGAACCTTAAAATATGGAAATCTGATTAGAATTTGATTTTTGAAATCTGGAGTAAAACTAATGACTTCCCAATTTTTTTTGAAAATCATTGATTAATCAATAGTAATTGCTATAGCGAGAACTTAAAAATTTAAAAGAAGAAATTTTAGATGTAAAAAAAAATTATTATAATGTACAATAACGATAAAAATTACTGTAAAAAATTATAGAAAAAAAAATTTTTTTATATTTCTTTTTTCAATTTTAAGCTTTTTGGAAAAAAAAATTTTTTTTACAAAATTTTAGGATTACCTCATTTTGCCCCCCCCCCTTCCTCTATTTTTGTACATAAAAAAATCATTTTTTTATTACAGCATCGACTATTTTTATACACCCTCTCCTGATGAAACTAGTTATTATATAAAGTAACAAGTTATCATTAATTCATACATTAAATTATCTCGCGCGAATTATGAGATAAGTGATAAACATGTTTTCATTTATTTTTAAACAATCATTATCTAACTAATTTATTAGTATTTTTTTTTATCCACTAAGCGTAAGGATGTTCTGTATTGACATGAAAATCAATACACTATCAGTTAAATGCGAGACATCGTATATTAAACGTGCTGAAGTGTGTTCTTGATTTCCGTGACTATAGATCATTTAAAGGAACAAATGATTTTATACATTTTATTAATTATACTTCTCTTATTAATTTATTATGTTTATATGAAATTTTTACACCGATCGCGTCGAATGGTATTTTATTTAGAAAAAATTCCTGGTCCTAAAACACTTCCGATTCTTGGTAATGCTTTAGACTATTTAGTCACGCCAGGTAATTTGATTTTTTTTTATCTTTTGAATAAGATTCTTAAATAATTTTCAAATAACTAGAATAAGACTCTTAAATAATTTAATTCTAAGCTGATTCTATTAATATTTATACTTTTGAATGTTATTATTAATTAATTCTAATTATATCTTTTAATAATTTTTGAGTCAATATAAATTTAAGCTTGCAGTTGTATTTTTACTGTACTCTTGTTAATTCATTAACTTCATTAATTAATTGTTAAATTATTAACAATTTATTATAAATATAATTATTTCTTTAATTTCTGACGTTAAAATGCTTGATAAAGTCCTGAGCCAGACGAAACATAGCACAAAAGTAATAAAGATAATTAAGTAACAACAAAATTATTTATCAAAAATAAATTCGTAAACATTTCAAAGTATTAATGCTAAGATTACTTAAATGATGTATACTTCTAGATCAATTATGGGACTTTACACGATTTTTAAACAATAAGTATTACCCGATTTCGCGAGTATATAGTCTTAAAGATGGTGGAATTCACATTCGTCATCCCGACGACGTTGAAGTAAATTATCTAATTATTCATCTGAATAAATAAATTTATAGAAAAAATTAATTCACTATTTTTATTACTGAATTTTTAGATATTACTATCGAGCTCGAAGAATATTTCAAAAAGTAAAATTTATGCTTTTTTGTACCCTTGGTTTGGTACCGGTTTATTAACGAGTACGGGTATGTATTATTAGTTTACTTTTTTTAGTTATAAATAATATAGTATGATAATAATAAATTTTTTTATCGGATTGAAAATTTAGGAAGCAAATGGCAAAAAAGAAGAAAAATATTGACTCCAGCGTTTCATTTCAACGTACTAAAAGAATTTTCGGATATTTTTGACCAAGAAGCGCGACGTATGGTTCACGATTTACAATCTGAAGAAGAAGAAGAAGACGTAACAGTAGATCTTGTTCCTTTCATAACAAAATATACTTTGAATGCTATTTGTGGTAAGTTTATACTTTGTAAAAAAAAACAATTAATAAAAATTAATTTGATTCCAGAGAAAAATTTTTTAACAAATAAAATAGTCTCAAAGACGAAAAATTCTTAAATCTAATAAAATTTACTTAAACTAAGAAAAATTTCTCTTGAAATTTCAAGAATTTTTCGCTTGAATCAATTAAATTTTTTCTTTCAATATAATTGCAATAAAATATAGAAAAAAAAATTTCCGTAATAAAAAATATTTCTAAAAGAAACGGCGATGGGAACGTCACTGGAAGGACAAAAAAGTTCGATGGATAGTTTCCAGAAAATTTATCGTAAAGCCATACACGATCTAGGAAACTTAATGTTGCACAGGTAATAATAATAATTACACTAATAAATATTAGTTAATCATGCATAATTTAATTATTAACTTTTAACCCAGGCTATTAAGACCGTGGCTGCATCCAGATTTTTTTTTCAATCTTTCACCTACATCAAGGATGCAAAGTAAATGCTTGGACATCGTCCGTGGATTTTCTAAGAAGGTTAATTAAGCACCATACTAATTAATTAACAATAATTAATAATCATAATCTAATTTAAAAAAATAAATATTTAAGATTATCGGCGAGCGTAGGAAGTACCATGAAGACACACAAGGAATTCATCTGAAGGAATTCACAGAGACAAATACTGCAAAAGACGTAGACAGACAATTATTCAGGAAAAAAAGATTAGCAATGCTTGATTTACTAATTGCTGCGATGCGAAACGGTCATATCGACGAAGACGGTATCTCGGAGGAAGTTGACACTTTTATGTTTGAGGTACGCGCTACTGTGTGATTACCTTGATTTTGTAATTATATATTATTTATTTCTTTTTTTCATAATTACATGACATGCATCAATTAATAGATATGGATGGATGTAATTGATTCATCATTTTCCGCTGAGTCATAGTAGAGCAGAATAAAAGTTAAACTGATAATTTTCAGGGTCACGATACCACGGCAATGGGAATTTGCTTTACTCTTTTACTTCTGGCAGAACATCGTGAAATTCAGGTTTGTTAATTAAAAATTTTTGTAATTGTTTACAATCACGATAATGACACATTTTTTATTTGATTGAGCTTTATGATTAAATTTTTTCGATTAATCGATTATTTCTTTTTTTTTTTTTAAATAAAACAAGTTAAAAATTAAAATTACAAAATTTTTTTCCAATTGAAAAATTTAAATTTTTGAAAAAAATTTTTCTTAATTATTTCATTTTAGAAAACTTCAATAAAAAATTAGGAAAACGGTTGACCCTGAAGGTCATCCCTGCAACTTCCCGCTAATTCCATACTTGAGCGCTCAAAATTTCACTAATTACGTTTTTGAGCTCTTCAAGCTCTAAAATATTAATTTCGTGTCATTTCGAAAATCTGATAGGAGTTTAATAAGACACTATTTTTTGAATTTTCAAATCGCAATAACTTTTGAATGAATGAACCGATTTCCACGCAGTTGGCAGCATTCGACGTAATTTTTTAGGCCTTATTAAAAATCTTTAAGTTTAAATTGACCAAACGAGGAATTTCTAAGTAATTCGACAACGATAACTCACGAACGAATCAACCAATTTTGATCGGGCTGCAGGGCAATTGACGTAGTTTTTTAATATTATTAGCTGATTCGTTTTTGGAATCGATCGGTAGAGCCGTTTAAAAGTTATTAAAAAAAAAACCACATTTCAAAAAAATTTTTTTTGTAGTTTTTTTGAAATTTCTCAAAGTCTACCATTTCGAATCAGTCCAAAGTATATTCAAAATCTAAGATTGATCAAGCCCTTTCGAATGGCACCAACCACGAAGAAATCGGTCAAGCCGTTCAAAAGTTATTGATAAAACCAATAACTTTTCAATTTTTTATAATTTTCAATTTTCTTAGCGGGAAGTTAAAAATTTATTCAAATTTTTAAGTCAAAAAATTTTCTAACGTTGCGATTCTACACGACCAAAATTTTGGAATTTTTATTACTTATATTATTTAATAATTTTTTATGAATGATTTTTAAAGAAATGAATAACCAATTGTTTTTATTGCAATATATAGGCACGAGTAAGAGAAGAATTTGATAACGCCATTGAAAGTTCCAATGGTCAAATAACTATTACGGAATTACAAAAGTTATCTTATCTCGAGCGTTGTATCAAAGAAGCTTTGCGTTTATATCCAAGCGTTCCGTTTATTTCCCGAGATGTTACTGATGACATACAACTAAGTAATTTAATTTAATTATGTAACTTAATACCAATTCTCTTGTTATGTCTATGTCTTATCTGAAGACTGCTACCTTTTCAAATTAACAGCGAGCATGTCTGTTTTCGTATTTTATCGACTCCTATTTCAAAAGTTGATTTACGTTCTTGTTTAATTCTGCTAAAAAGATAGCGGTCGCTTTTAGTCATGAGCTGATTTATGTCCCAATAAATAAATAATTAATTAGCTAAAATGAATTCTAGGAGATTATTTTATACCAAAGGATGTGATGGCCCATGTCCATATCTATGATTTACACCGCGACCCGAATTTTTGGCCCGACCCGTTGCGGTACGATCCAGACCGATTTATACCTGAGAACAGCTACGGAAGACATCCTTTTGCATATGTGCCATTCAGCGCAGGACCGAGAAATTGTATTGGACAAAAATTTGCAATGCTAGAATTGAAGGCGATAATTGGACACTTGATACATAACTTTTACTTAGAGCCCATTGACTTGGCAGGTGAAATCCGAATGATGCCGGACTTAGTTCTAAGACCCAAACATTCTGCGAGGATTAAGCTAATCTCTCGTTCTAAGTGAATTATTTAGTGAGACAATTAAACTGTTGATAGTAGAGGTCGTTCACCTGAAAAAAATTTTATTAAATCTAAGTTTTTAATATTTAAAATACCATTAATAAAATTTAATTTTCCAATAATTGTATTTTATTAACACACTTCTATTAGCTTATTAATAAAATGCCGGTAAAAATTGTTCTTTTAATTAAGAAAATAACTTTCAATAATTTTAAAATAAAAATAGTGATTAAAAAAAATTTTTATTTTATTGTAAAAAAATCATAGAATGATTTTTAAGATTTTTCTGTAATAACTTTACTTTTATAAATATCTATCAATAAAATATCTTGAAAAATTAATATCAAGCACTTGATACTTTTTTTAACAATATAATAAATTTTTTTATTAATCACTCTATTCTTATTTTAGACTTATTCAAAATTTTTTTTTACTTTTTAGTTGTGTTTTCTTTTAAAGTATTAGGGTAAATGCACCAATTATTGACCGATTAAGGTTTTCTTTTTCTGTACTAAGCTATAAAAAAAAGTATTAGGGTAAATGCACCAATTATTGACCGTATTAAGGTTTTTCTTTTTCTGTACTAAGCTAATAAAAAATCTATTAACCTACTAAAAACAATTTGTAATGGATTTTATTAAAGTTAAATACTTAATTAATAATAATTAATAACTATTTATAATAAAAATTAACAAAATTATATTAATTTTGTTATTTGAATCTTGAAATACTAAAATCACCAATTATTGACCGAAGAAACCCAATAAATGACCGACCGTTCTCCAATTATAATTGACCGCTCAAATAATTATAAGTAATTTTGTAAACTACATGTATGTAATTAAATTTATGCAGCACTTTTGAAGTATTAACGACATTTTTAACAAAACTAAACATATATACAATATAATTTTAAACCGTACTTTTTTTTATAAAATAATAGCAATAATTAACATAAAGTCACATTTCTTTAGGTCACAAATAATCACAAATTCATTTTGATGATGATAATTCTTCTGATTCACTTGAAATTTTTTTATTCTTCTCCTTCTTTTTTTCAATTAAAGCTTTTTTACTAGCTTGTAACTCTTTTTTATTTCTTTAATTGCTTAGCAATTTTTTCTTCTAATGATTCGTTCTTTGATATAACCGTTCACTAAAAAAATTAGAACAAAATAAAATTTAATAATCAAAAAAGATTTTAAGTATTATTTTAATTATAAATATACATTTTATAATGATTATTTTTATATTTACAAAATATTTAATGACTAAAGTACTTTAAACACTTGACAGATTTAATTTTGGAGTTAAGAAGTTAGTATTATAATTATACGGTCATTAATTTGATTGTGATAAAATCAGAGGGTCTAATAAATGACTGAATGAATTTTTTACTGGATAAAGGGCTTCTGACGGATCCAATAGTTGACCGGTCTTAAAATAATATTAAAACTTATAATTTAACTTTATTTTTTCAAAAAAGTTGGAATCTGATCTTTAATTAACATAATAAAACTAAAATATTTTATATTATGCCGATAAATATCACTAAATTAATGATTAAATGCTCTCACTCTCCAATTGTACGCTAGTTATTTTTGACCGCTTTATGGCTGGTTCCGTTTTAAACAAACTCAGAATATTTTTTTAAAGCTATAATCACTGCCCAATTAATTGCGTAATTTTTTATTATGATGATTAAATGCCATATTATTTTATTTTAATACTTTAAGAAAAAAAAAAAACCCTTGTAAAATATTAATTAATTAACTTTTTTATACATCGGTCAACTAATTGGTGACCGGTCAACAACTGGTGCATTTACCCTAGTAAAAATTTTTTTAATAGTTTAAAAATTTAAAATTAAAATTATTATTAAATGTTAGGGACGAATATATAAATCAAAATAAACGATTTTCACAACAATTTTGTATTTAATACATCTTCTTTACATCATAACTACAAATGTAACTTTTTAAAAGCTTTTTTTTTTTCAATTAACAAAAACAATACATTGGTTTTTTGTTAGTATAAAGGCTTAAAATACGTCATACATATTTTTAATTATAATGAAATTTTATACATTCAATAGTACGTTTGCTTACTATCTATTTTTGAGCCAAAAAAAATTTTTACAAAAACAAAAATTTTCAATTAAATCAGTACAAATACCGGAGTTAAAAAATTTAATAAATAAAAAATAAATACAATAAAACAAAAGTAAAAAATTACCAATATGACTTTATAAAAAATAGAGAGCAAACATTTTTAAAAAACAATTAAAGCGCTTCGTCGTTTAATTATAGATGTAATACGCAAAAATATTTAACTTGTTGAAATATTTGGTTACACCGTACAATTAACGAGAGAACAATAAATATCTTTGGTGACGAATAACGAAACATTTTGGTATTCTTGCATACAATGTTTTTTGCGAAAAAAAAAATAATTCGGGTACAAAAAAATTAATGCAAGTTAAATCATCAAATACCAGTACATGTCATACTATACTGTTACTAAATTAAAAATAGCTGATACTTAATTAAACTTTTACGCATACACACAAAAATCGTTATACTAAGCCACAAATTTAGATCTATGTCTATACTACATCACAATCGAAAAAAAAAGTTATTTTTTACAAACAATTTTACAGCACTCTGTATTCGTTAGATCGATCATTACCAAAAGAAGTATAAAATCATGAAAAGGCACAAGTTAATGTCAAGACCTAATTGACGATACCAAATTAAACTATAAAAATCTTTTTTAAAATAAAAATATGCTGATCACAAAATTTCCGTTTTTTTACTTAATTATTCGAATGATAAATCGTCGAAAAAAAATATCAAACCATCAAAAAAAATAAATTCAGGTTACAGCATTTCTGATGCTCGTCACAGAATTTTTCTTATTCTCTCAATTATGTGGATTAATATTTGACATATAACCACATTAACGGATACAAAACAAAATTAATTAAACAAAAAAGTTTTATCTGACTTGAAATTTGAATCTATTAATTACTACTCTAAAAACTTACTATAGTAAATTAACTGTCTGTGAAAACCATTTATAAAAACTTAAAAAATGCACAAATTAGGGTCAAGACCCTTCCAATGACACTAAATTTAACTAAAAAACCCATTTGATCATACAAATACGTAAGAGAAAAAATTTTCTTCATTCTCGTAATTGTACAGATAAGAATTTGGAGGCGGAGAATAATCGCGATGACGACGAGCGTGCGAAAGTTTGGTCGCGTGCGAAACTAAAAGTCTTTCTCCCGCCTCTGATGGATAGCATGCAGCGTAGCAGTCACGGCTGTACTTTAATATTTATATTATGTTATGCAGTAATTATATTTATATTTACATTAATTGTTGGGCTTCTCTCTACACTAGAATCTAACTTAGACTTACAATTAGTAGGTATTAGTGTTTTATGTACCGACTACACAGCTGTACAGTATGGGCTGAATTGTTGATGGTACGCCGGAAACCCGGCTCCAAGAAAATATTCTACGTTCCTATTTCACATAACACGGGAACCAGCGGCGAGGCGCGAAAAGAATCTGGAGGGCAACCGGATTTTTTTTTATCCTATTATTTTTCTCGAGATCCCTTCTCACTTCTTTACTTGTGCTATACTTTACAGAGCTACACAGGCTTTGAGACTTAACAGACACAGAGCATTACTCTCTGACACTGACACACATATACATGTATATAACACGTGCACCAGTATCGGGATAGGAAGGACCAGAGAAAAAATTTATTGTCCTGGACAGATTGAAAAGAATCCCCGGAACAGTACAATGACTTACACACTTCGAGCTGTGTTTTTTTAAAGGAGCTCTCTGGACTGTATACGAGTCAAATCAAGTTTTCGGTAATCCAAAATTTTATAAATGGAACCGAGAGCACTTTTGTAGTTTAATATTGAAGAATGTAGCAGGATTTTTGAATAAAATAAATATCGGGCACAATATGAATCATAGAAATAGTAAAATCAGATGTTCTGTATTAAAAATTAATGAAAATATTCGAGTAAAATTTTTTTTAGGGAAATTTCAATGATTGGAATTAAAAAATGTAAACTGATAGAAAATGGTTCAAAAATTTTTCTACTCCGTTCAAAATCATAAATTCCTTCAAAATGATTTTCTTGGTTCAGAATTTCTTCTCTTGAGTCAATTTTTTTTTTTTATCAATTATTGGAAATATTGATAATAGACTAAATATTACTACATTGATGTATTTAAATAATAAGTTGTAGTTAAAAAATGAATACCTGAGTTTATGGTTTCAAACCAGAATTTAAAAAAGTTTAAATTTAAGAATGCACCGATAAAACATTTACTGGATTCAAGAAAAAAATTTTTAACCAAGAAAATAATTTTATAAAGTTATTTTTTGTTTAATCAAAAAAATCAATCTTTAACTAAGAAATTATTCTCAGTTCATATTTTTACTTAGTTCAAGAATTTTTCTGTTTGATTCAAAACAAAGAAACTTCAAAATTATTTTGTTAGTTCAAAATTTTTTCAATTAAATTGTTAATTTCTTTATCCATGTAGTTAATATTAAATTTACACACTAAAAACTTATTTTAAATTAATACATGGCATACTTAATTACATTTGAAACATTTGAAACATTAAATATAAGATATTCAGTAAAATATAACGCGGATCTAAAATTTTTACACTTTTTATCAGAGGTACACTGGAAAAAAAAATTCTTGACTGGAGGGTAATTTTTCTTGGCTCAAGAAAATATTAAGAATGATTGAAAATTTCTTGAATGAAGTTAAAGTTTCTTGAGTCAAGAAAATTTCTTGCTCCAAAATAACTTTTGTCTTCCTTAAGAAATTTTCTGGCTGCAAGAAGTTTTTTTTTCTGTGTACTCATATTCTACTACCCAAAATATATTTATTCACTCAATAAATTAAATTTTATTATCCAAAATACATTTTCCAATTGAAAACATCTAATACAAAAAAAAGCTCTATTAAAACATAATTTTCCATTTAAAATTCCCACCAATCAAATGAAAAACTCACCATCACCTTTCACCAGCTGAATCTCCAAGAATAAACATTTTTCTCCAGTCCAACAACCTTACCTCTTAGATTTTTTTTATATTTTTTGCAAATCCCTAAAAA